TGGCATGGCTGATCTCAACGGAGTGTGGCATACAAAGGAAAATTGTGAAAGCTGACTGTCTGGAGTGTACTGGAAAACCTGGGACTGGATTCACTCATTACTGTTTAGTGAGCTTAAAGTAAAATGTACTCTAGCACTCTATGTTTCTAGTATGAGATGACAATTAGCAGTTGCTCTTTTTGACATTTGTAAGCAAGGATATGGCTGGTGCATATTGAAAATGTAACCAACAGATCGTAGAATCATAGAAAGCTGGGGTTGGAAGGGACCTCAGGAGATCATCCAGTCCAACCCCATGCTCAAAGCAGGATTATCCCCAACTAGATCATCCCAGACAAAGCTTTTTCTAGCTGGGTTTTGAAAACTTCCAAGGACGGAGTTTCCACTACCTCTCTGGGTAACCTGTTCCAGTGTTTTACTACCATCCTAGTGAAAAAATTATTCCTAATATCCAACCTAAACTTCCCTTTCTGCAACTTGAGACCACAGGTGCTTGTTCTATTGTCTGCCACCACTGAGAACACTCTAGCTCCATTCTCTTTTGAACACCTCCCACCCCCTTCAGGTAGTTGAAGGCTGCTACTAAGTCTCCTCTCTGTCTCTCCTTCTCTAGACTAAATAAACCCAATTCCCTCAGTCTTTCCCTCCCCCACACCATTTTTGTTACCCCACTGGACTCTCTCCAATTTGTCCATGTCCTTTCTGTAGTGGAGGGGCCCAAAGCTGAACACAGTACTCCAGATGTGGCCTCACTAGTGCTGAATAGAGGGGAATAATCACTTCCCTTGACCTACTGGCAACACACCTACCAATGCAGCCCAGTATGCCATTAGCCTTCTTGGCAACTAGGGCACGCTGCTGGCTCATATTCAGTTTATTGTCCACTGTAACCCCCAGGTTTTTTTCTGCAGAGCTGCTGCCCAGCTAGTCAGACCCCAGCCTGTAGCGGTGCATGGGACTGTTCTGTCCTAAGTGCAGAACTTTGCACTTGTCCTTGTTGAACCTCATGAGCACGAACAACTGGTGCTTCCCGAGACTGGGGCAGCACAATATGTGGGCGGCAATGACTGCCCACAGAAGCCGGTGGCGGTGTTGGAGGGGGGGAGTGGGGCAAAGGGGAGGGTGGTGAGTGGCGATTGACAACTGCCTGCAGAAGCCAGTGGGGGGTGGTGAGCAGCGACCACCCACAGAAATCGGCATCAGCTAACCTTAGGGGGGCACATGCTTTCTTCCTCCCCACCATCACCTATGCTCATGACATTTCTTTTGGTCCAATCCTCCAGTTTGTCTAGGTCACGCTGAATCCTAGCCCTACCCTCCAGCGTACCTACTACACCCACCTGTTTGGTATCATCTGCAAACTTGCAAAGGGTGCACTCTATGCCATCTTCCAGGTCGTTGATGAAGACACTGAACAAAACCAGCCCCAGGACCGACCCCTGGGCCACTCTGCTTGATACTGGGTGCCAACTAAACATTGAGCCATTGATTATTACTCTCTAAGCCTGATGCTATAGCCAGTTTTCGATCCACCTTACAGTCCACTCATCCAGCCTGTAGTTCCTTAGTTTGCCTCTGAGAACGTTGTGGGAGACTGTATCAAAAGCCTTGCTAAAATCAAGGTACACCACAACCACTAGTCTCCCCACATCCACATAGCCAGTCATCTCATCATGGAAGAGAAGAAGGCAATTAGGAACAGTCAGCATGGATTTACAAGGGGCAAGTCATGATTGACCAACCTGATTGCCTTCTAAGTCCTTAGACATGGATTCCTCGAGGATCTGCTCCATGATTTTTCCAGCGACTGAGGTAAGGCTGACTGGTGTGTAGTTCCCTGAATCTTCCATTTTCCCTTTCTTAAATATGAGCAGTGTTTGCCCTTTTCTAATCATCCAGGACCAATCCTGATCAGCATGAGTTTTCAAAGATGATGGCCAGTGGCTCTGCAGTCCCATCGGCTAACTCCCTCAGCACCCTCAGGTGCATCCCATCCAGCCCTATCGACTTGTACATGTCCAGCTTTTCTAGGTAGTCCCTAACCTGTTCTTTCACCACTGAGGGCTGCTCACTTCCTCAAACTATGCTGCCCGGTGCAAGTCTGGGAGCTGACCTTGCCTGTGGACATTTATCCCGAAGTCAAACATTATCTCAAAGTCTGTCTGGCTACCGTGACAGCCCAAAGTAGATTTTCACCTATAGTGGCCGGGGAGACTCAATAGGTAGGAGGAGGGTAGCACAGATTGGCAGCAGTTCTTGAATTTGCTGAGTTATTAAAATTTCCTTCCAGACTATGCCCAATATTTATAGTTGGCTGGTTCTAATATTAAATGATCTCCGATTGGTTTTATTTAAATGTCTTTGTTTCGTTGAAACTTTGGACCTGGACTGAACCAGAGATCTCTTGTGGACTTGGAAGGTGTAAATTAACTGGGATTTATATCCTTCAGAAAGTATAAGGAGGGTTTTCTAATCTCCAGGATTCCACAATTGGGAAGGAAAGTTCAACACTGGCCTGTTTCTTCTTTACCTTAGAGTTTATGGTAATCTCTGACAAGGCTGTTTTGTTTTTACAATTTATCTAAGCATCTTAACAAAAATATATCTATTATAGCAAAATAACATCTAATACATTTGGTTACTTCAATCACTGCTACTATTATTTTAAGATAGCTATGATACAGTGTATTTGGATTATTTAATGTATGTTCTTCCCTTATAATGTTTCCTTTCAGGCATTGTGTTTTGTTTAATTGCATCTTGGTACATATGTCTGGCTTCCTTTACTTTGCTGACTAAGCTAGTTGTCATATCTTTAAAGTTCATGCTACAGTCACTCAGAAATAGGCTTTGGGGGGCCTTCTACTTAGCCATACTTATGCAGCTTGGCCTAGGCCCCTTGAAGATGGCCATAGCTGGCAACAATTGACATTCACAAACCTCCTATTTTGTATATAGGCTACCTTATAATTTAGGGGAACAATTTACTCTTAGACCAGCTCCAGAACCAGAAATACCAATCCAGTCACTGAGAAATACAACAGATGAAAGAGGCTAAAAGAACTGAAAGAATGTGGTCAAAGTTTTAAACAGGACTGGTGTCTTATTTAAAATATGTATTGTTAAGATGTAATTTAAATATTCATGTATATTCTAATTTAACTATTGATTATTCACAATCATTCTTGTTTAATTTATTCTAATTTAAATATTCATATTTAAATAAATAATTAATATATAAATTACATGAAGTTGCATGTCTATAAATGCATTTACAGTTACCCTGAGTGCATTAATTAGGTAAAGAAACAAGCAGCTGAATAGCAATGCCTCTAACTAGTAAGTACGAGTGACACTTAGCTTAATCATAAAGATGTCTTTTTTTTTTTTACAAGCCTTTGAAAGTTAGAAGTTTCACAGAAGAGGCATTAAGGTGTAAGGCTGTAATACAAAGAAGAGAATTTTAGCATAAACATCAGGAAAATTTTAGGACTCTCATGTTTGGGATAGTCTTTCATTGAAAGTGGTGAAAAAGCTCAACCAGCTTAAAACATTTTAAGTCTATAAAGATGCAGTGCAGGGAAGAAGTCCTCTGGTGGCAGGGAGTAAGGGTTAAATAAGCTATAGGCAAGTTTCCTATTTGCCACATCTATGATCCTTTCTACTCTTATTACCATGTCTTCCTGTTAAGGTAGCTTGTTGTATTTTATGCTTTAAAGTTGTACCTGTTTATAGAGTGGTGAATTACGGTATTGTTTAAAGTTTTCTTTTATATTTAGCCTTATTTAATCATTGCTTAAATTCTGTATAGCTTCCTTATTATCTGAACGTTTCTGCAATATCAGATGGCCTTGCCTCTTGCAAGCAGCTTATGGCTTTGAGTTTGCTCACATGATGTTTCTTTCCTTTTCTATCACTGTGAGTTTTTCTAACACAATATAGTAATAGTTTTGTTACTAGCTCAAATTAACTGAACTTGGCACTAACCTGCTGCATCACAGGATGAAATGATTGGATATATTAATGAAAGGTGGTAAGGGAAACTAATGGACAATGCCCAAAATAAGACACCAGAAAAAGGCCAAATTAAGAGGTGTGCTTATGATGGGTCTGTTGAACAAAGGAATACACTGACAGGATAAAATATGGACAATATGTTGACTGCAAAGAGACCAATCTGAAAGCCAAGCAGTCAAAGGTGTGAAGTTTAAGAAAACTATGAAAGGGGGCAGCAAAAAAGTTAAGTGTCGTTGTCATCATAAATCCAGCCTTCAACACCTGTCTAGACCATCCCGGCCAATGACGTACACTTTGCTTCAGGAACTGAGTGGCCGTCTTTTCTGTTGAGCAAAGTAACATCTGGGATTGGGTGAAATCATTGTACTAAGTGTTTTTCTCTCTCTAAATATAAAAACTGCTAATATAATACTACTTGTACTAATAAAGTTAAACTTTAATTTTAGGACCTTGAGTTGTCTGTGTTTGTAGTTCACATTCCATTTAAGGGTTAATTGTGCTTTAATGATCTCTAAGCACTATCTGGTAAACAGTGGTGCTAACATTTCCTTCATAATGTTGGGCCCTATTCCATCTCCTGTGGAAGTCACCTGGACTAAATCAGAACTGGATTTAAGCCTAAAAGGTTCTTAAAATTCTCTCTCTCTCCTGGAATGTGGTTATAAATCAGAGTTCCTTTTATTAGGTTAGAAATGGTTCACTGTTGCCTTTCAAAGTGGTCTGGCTGCCCTCTAGTGGAGGCTAATGTAGTAAGACAGATTTGAATCTAAAAAAATGAAGATTCCTAAGCACTGTCCTTGTGCCCAGGTCAATAGTGTATTTCATGTAACAACTAACTTAACATGCAATTTTCACCCCTAGGAGAGCATAAGCAGTTAGGTACAAATATAATAGGCAGCACAGTAGAACAACTTAACAGAGATAAAATTGAGGTACACAGTTTGGGTACTACATTTCCCATTCTTTTACACTAGTTATATAGGTCTAACTGCTCCTACTCAAGCCAACTTTACACTTTGGATTTTTTACTTGAATATTTCACAACCTAGAGGCACACGCAAAAAGCTTAACACTTCACTTTTACTAAAAATGGAAAGGGAAAGTTATCACTATTTCACCACTTAACAACCATTGATTGATGTCTTTTAATTCTGGAAAACTGGTGCTTAGATGTATAGCGTGCACTTTATATAGAATATGGCTCTGCACATGCAGCTAAATTTCTACTTGAAGGCTAATTAAGTGGCACCTGTGAAGAACCCCACAGGCCAAATGGCATGGACCTGCGTGCCAGATCGGGTACACAGGGTCGTGTGGGAGCCAATCTGGCATGTGGGGCTGGTGCAGGGCTTAATCTCAACGCACCAGGAGCTCCATACACTGACACTGGACAAAGGCCCAATCCTAGCATGTGAAGCCAGGCAGCAGAGGGCCCAATCCCAGCACACACGGGCCACTCATCTGGCTCCTGAGGCCAAGGGTTGAGCACCACTGCTCTAACCTAAAATAATTTTATAAACTCATAACTAATATATTTCAAACTTAGTACAGTGCACTTAATTCACACTAGCATTGAACTTTAAAAAGTACAGAGATTTCAAATGTATGCCCAGAAAAAAAAATCCTGATGCAACCTTGAAAGAATGAAAATGTTTTGCTCAAATTCCTAAAACAATACACATTTAGAAAATGTCAAACCCAGGCAAGAATTTTTTGAACAGTTACAAGTGCCTGGAAAAAATATGTGCTTATATTTGTAGCTTGGTATCAACTTAACTATAGCATTTGCCACAAAAGCCTGTCTTAAGGAGAAATGCCTCTAACTGGCCTAAGTTTAACACTACATTTTATAAAAGATTGAATTAAAATATGAATAAAATTATATTATTTATCTTTGTGACTAAGATGGAATTTTAAAATGGTGTGATATTTTCTTGTCTTAATAGTTAAAAATCTTTGATGAGGTGGTTCATAGAGCTTTGATTTGCCAGTAATGCTAAACTTTAATTTGTTTGCCATTTTACATACTCATCATTTTATATTATTTTATACATTACTTAAAACAAAGTGTAATTTGTTATTAAAACTGCTTTATGACAAATGACCCAATGACTGATTACTTCAAAAGCCAGTCTCTCTGTCTTAGCAGCTGAACAGATCTTCTCCATTTTGCTTTGTAAATAAAATTTAGATTGAAAAGCAGCATCAGCTGAAACAACTCCAAGTTAAATGGACTTGGATCTGAATCTAATATAGCTTGTAAACCAAATCTGAACATTTTGCATTGATGGACAGATTTTCAAGAAGCTGGAAAAAAGAATTTGTTTATTTCACAAACAAGTATTTACATGGGACATAAATTCATTACACAGAAAAGTGAAATTTACACATTCACAGATTTACATTTGTATGCCCTTGTCTGGGCATGTGCTCTGTAAGTCTGACTGGATTCTGTTTATTGTGGCTATACTCTTCACGTTGTTTTACACAATGGCCTGTTTCTTAAAGAAAAAAAATGCATCTGGCATGACATCAGCGTACAAATGAATAATAAGCACATAGGTATATCTGTATCTCCTTTACCATGCTATCAGTAGTCCTTACAGCATGCTTGAGCTCAGTTATCCTTATAGTAATTATTAAAGTTGATTCGTAGCAGGAAGTCCTCTAGATGTGGTTGGTATCCCCTATTTACAAGTTTAGTTACCACTGGTGGAAAAGCAAAACACACACAAGTGTTAATTTATATTCCACAGTCAGTCAATTCCTTCTCAGAACATTCAGATACTGTTAAAAAACCCTACTGTACATGGAAACAAAGCTGCACTTCTGCACGAAGATGGGCCCTCTCTTTTTCTGGTACTATGAAAGGGCGCTCAACAGCCAGACTTCAAAACAGGACTTGGGGCAAGGAAAGAGAGTAAGCATACAAATGGTATTTTACACTTCTAATTAGGGATCACCTTTCTCCAAACCTTCTTCAAAAGGACAATTTGTGGTGTTTGTGGCATCGACTTAATTGAGCAGTAGGCACTACTGAGCTGCCCTGACTCTATCTATAAACAACAGTGCTCAATCTTTTCAGAGTCACTACTCAATGTGGCAGCAGCCCTGGGGTGAAAACTACTGTTGGTGCTGCCTCAACTGACCTCCGTGGTTCTCGATGGGGTGTTGCTACCTCCAGATATAATCCTGCCCAACATCCCCTGAACACAAAGTTGAATGGGGCAAATGGAACTGTCCCCCACACTTCTGTTTCTGGGAGAAGTGTGGGGACAGACAGGGAAGGGCTGCAGCACAAGCTGACTCTCCTGCCCGCTTTTCAGTTAACGCAGAATCCTAGTAAGGCAGGAGAATGTGTATGCATGCTGCAGCCCTATACACAAGGCAGTTTTACCTGCCTGCATCGCAGTACCACAGCTGAGTACCACTGCTCTAAAGGGCAGCTCTGTTGCAATTTTCCTGTGCCAAGACTGCTGTGCTAAATAGGTCTCAACTGGACACTCATAGGATGAATGCGCAACCCAACTATGAACTGAGTAATATTTAGTATCTTTAACAACAAAGGAGGGATTGTTACAAATCGGTGGACTTCATAATATCAAGAAAAAGGTTATTTTAGTTTCATAAACCTTCCATGCACCAATGTGGAGGGAATCAGCAAGCAGTAGCAGCATGCAAGGAAAAGGGAGGTGTAGAATATACAGGATCGGGACCTGATCCAAAGCTACTAAAATCAACAGATTACTTTTCATTGCTCTTCAATGGGACCTGAATCAGGCCCTTTGTGACAGAGCGCATTTTGCAGTACACAGTGATCATAGGGGCACGTGTAGACGAACAAGCACACATCTGTTTTGTAGTGCTTAATATAAGAGTGTGTAAAGGACCAGGTCATTCTGCAAATTTCCTTACAGGAGGATCTATTAATCTCTGTCCAGGAAGCAACCATAGATCTCGTAGCATGAGATTAGATGGTTCCCAAAAGCGTTTTGGCTTCGTGTCGGCTCTGGAAGTAGCCACTCTAACTCATCCTGAAATATTTGTTTTTGATGCGTTTTGTCCTTTGACACCGTTTTTTGACCCCCTTAAAGAATAAAAAGGGCATCTCATTTCCTGAAGGATACAACCTGACTGAAACAGAACTTAATAGAGAATACCAAAGGAAAGCAGGTGTTAACTGACTTCCTTTGGGTACTGGGGCCTCTAAGAAAAAGGAGTAACAATATGCCTTTATTCACATGAAAAAGTTATTTTTTGGCAGAAATATGGGAAGGGTCTGAAAGGCTGGTATTTGGGAAATACAGAAGATAGCTCTACAAGTTTCTTAACCTGCCAGCAGAGTGATAGTCAGGAGAAATTCTACTTGATACAGAACATGAAACACTCTACAAAAAAGCTGCAGTGACAAAATACTTGCCTGAAGGATTAATTTTCAGCTCTAGTTAGCAGAAGATATCCAATCTTTCAGTAAGCTGCACCATTTAACTTGTACACAGATGTAAAGCAGAGTTCAGAGATTTTCTGCCATTTTAGATATGATCATCTGTCACTGCTGACAATGCAAGGTTCCAAAGACCATCTCCCAGATAACTAGGAAATCTAACCATGCATTAAGGTGGGCAGCAGAGATTTTTGCCCATGTATATAAGCAAAAATTATAGGACATCTGCTAAAAAAAAAACAATACACTTCTGCTACTAAGATCTTAATTAGTAGACATGAAGGGCACTTTTACACATGTTCCTAGGGTGGGAGGTGTGGCGCCTAAATTAGAGCGACTCCGAGAGCCACTCAATGAGCTTTAGTTCAAGTGCCCTCACTGCCATTTTTAAGCCTGGGATAATGATACACAAGATACAGGAGGCTGCTGGAGTGTGGTAACTACCACTACAACTAGAAATTCAGCGCGTCGGAGCAGCCTCCATGCTCATGAATAGGCACCCGGAGGTATTACCTTTCCCAGAAGTAATGAACTAATGAGCTCAGTACAAACACCCTCTTGCTTTGCTCGCTTTGCTACTACACTGTCAGAGGAAACTGCAAGCACTTACAGTTTTCAGGTGTTAACTGACTGATACAAAATAACAGAGGTGATCTCTTACCTTTGAATAAAAAGTGCGAATAATATTTGAAGGTATTGTAAGATTGCTGCATCAAACCAAAGTTGGGATGAATGGCCATTTGCTTCCCAGTATCAAAGCTCCATGACTGAGAGATTAATTGACTGCGAAATTTCAAAATAAGACTGAAGATACTGTGAATGATGTTCATCACTGGGGCTGCCTTTTCAGTCAGTAGACCCCTAGCAAAACAAAGACATTTAGAAAACTGTTTGGAACTAGAGAATGTAAGTACCACCATACTGGGGCAGACAAATGGATGCTGCTGTTCTTGTCTGTAAGACATGAGATGCCATACAGAAATGCCATTCTTAGTCTTCTCTTGTGTTGACCTTTCCTGTTCTGCACATTTTTTTCCCCTTGTCTTTTGACCATCTTTTCTTCCTCTAGCCCCCTTTTCACTCCACATACCACTCAGAGGTACTTTCTTCTCATCCTTACTTCTTTTTTCTTTTTTCCTCTCTACTACAATCCCTATGGATGTCTATAGTTAAGGTTAGAAACAGTTACTGTGCATGAAGCTTGAAGTGCTGACAGCAAGCGACTCCTAAAGCCAGTCTTGTTTCCTGCAGTTTCATGAATGCAGATGGTGACAGTCTGTAGCTTCATATTATAACTGCTACCCTATGACACAGTCCTAAACTCCGAAACGAGCACTGTACATGCATTAAAAGTGCATACAATATAGAAAGCATGGGCTGGGCTTGCACAATCGTTCAACTCGGATTATATGTCCATAATATTTGTGCATGTAGACACAGCACAGCACATTCACTTAAGAAGTTGGTGTTTAGTATAAACCATGCACTTCCTTTTCTTTTTTGAAAAAGCAGTAATATTCTGAGTGCTTTTGCCATACTCAGGTTTTACATGATTTATAATCACTATTTTTATATGTTGGGTGAATCCAGGACAGAGTGGCAGGACACAGAAGTTGTCTTGGCTCCAGACACATAATTTAGAGCCACTCTCTAGACCTGTATTGAAGGCTTAGCTGTAAGTGTGTAGCAGGTCATTCAGGCAGGAAATGAAAGGTGGACAGAAGCAATGCAATGTATACCACTCCTATGCCTGCTACTGGTTTTAAAAATTGTCATGTTGACATGTAGTGTGGTTACATTAGACTCAGGTGAAACTCTGACTTTTGATTAGGTTGGAGATTAGGAAGAACTTTCTCTGAGGGTGGTTCAGCACAAAATAGGTTACCTAGAGACGCTATGGAATCTCCATTGCTAGACATTTCCAGAGCAGGTTGGGACAGACACCTGGCTGGGATGGTTTAGTCAGGGATTATTCTAGCTGAGCAGATGGCAGAACTAGATGAATTCACGCATCCTACTTCTACCCTACTGTCCTACAATACAAACCCTAAATGTTGTAAAGTTCATTCAGAAAATTATTTTTGTATGTTTGGAGTGTGGTATGCCCTTTAAACAGAAGGCAGTAAACCAATCCTCAGCTGGGTAAACTGGCATAGTTCCACTGACTATTCTTCTCACTGGAAGAGTTTCCCAGTTTTGCTTACCGGAAGATTGCTTTGTTGAGGTATTCTGCATGTGTTCTATGAATCTCTTCCAGGTTTCCTACAGAAGACAGTTTGTTTCCAAACTCACACCACGTAACATGCAAAATCTGGTTAGCTATGTAACCCTGGATAACTTTTACAAAGTGCTGCATTTCATGTTTATACAGCTGAAGCTGCCGAAACTGAACAGAATTCGATGCTCGACTCACTAAGGCTGAAAAGAAAAAACAAGATGTTATTTTCAACACCCGCAGAGACCATCTTTTCCATAAAAATCAGTTTGAGATCATTACCTGCAAAAAAACAGCCTAAAATACCAAATAAGCTTTCTTGAATAAATTTTGGCTTTTAAAGCTTTAATGTGACACTTTTAAAGAGCATATTTACAATCAAGTACCTGAAACACAGAGCTACCAGCGTTTTAAATGGAACCCTAATTTACTAATTTATCTTACCAGTGCGTTTCAAGTGGAACCAAACATCCTTGAGAGTCCAAACCATATGCTTCAACTGTAACAAAAAGGAGAAGATCTTGTTGTATTTATTCATGCAGCTCTCTGTAATGACAATGTTCAGAGGCCAGTCAACCTAAAAAAGAAAGAAAGGCTGCCATTAACATTGCCCTTGCAGTCACAGGTATTAGAAAGATAATTGCTCTGGACATAACTGAATGAATGTGCAAAATGGTATCACTGGATGCCCAAGCTGAGCAAACCCTTTAAAGTTCATTTATACTATCTTAATTTCTTAACTCTGTTCCCCTGAGACATACTATACACATTAATTATACACCAAAGAACAAACAATAAACATGAATGCTCACAGTAAAAAAAAAATCATGGTGTAGGGCAAAACATAACTTTCAAGTACTCTTTTCTATGTGCTTTCTTACCTTGTACCTTAGCTCTAAGCAGCTCAAAGCATCAGGAGCATTGGGTTTGAACATTTCTGGAAGGTACTTCAGCGCAAAAGAAAGATTAGATGCCAGCTGGGTGTCTCCATGAAGACTATACTGCAAGGCTTTATTTAAGATAGAGTTGAGAACCAGTGGATTCAACAGTTCACCAGGCGTTTGCCCTGATCCAAGCTAGGAAAAACAAACAAACCCATATTGTTATTCTTAGAGAAACACTGAGAGAGTCATGCTGTTGTGTTAAAATAAATTTAGTAGCAGGTAACGGTGCCTATACATGTGCTCTGGGATGGGGGATTTTAATTAATGATCTTAGTTAAAACACCCCCGCTGCTCTTTTGAAACATGGGATGCTAAATACAAGATGCTGCAGCACACTGGAGCGTTCTGATTAGATTCCAGCAGATTAATCGACTCCGTTCCAACATGTTCTAATCAGACTACGTTAGAGCACATGTAAAAAATGCGCTAAGTGACTTAAGCAGCCCAAATCTCATTTTCAGAAGGGACTTGAGCTCTTAAGTCTGAGACCAGTTTGGCCAGGATTTAGGCATTAGAACACCTACAACTTTGGTCCCTGTAAAGAAATCCAATTTGACTGGATTTAGGGGCCTAGGATCCCCATGCAGCCAATGGGGAGACTTAGGCAATGTACAGGGCAATTCAATTTGACAGGATTTAGGCACGTAGGTAGGCAGGGAATGTAAATGACACCCAGCTCATTTATTTTTCAAAACACAAACCTATGGGCTCAGCTACTGTTATGGGAGCTATACAGAGACATACAGAGCCAATTCACACTTGTAGGCATATAACAGAGGTCAAGGAACCCTATTAATTTAAGGAGGAGAGAACAGCAGTCTAGGGCAGCAATTTGCTGTAGACAGCTAAGATAGCAGCCGATGGAAAGCCAAGACAAGGGCTAATGGCTGCAAGTGACTTCCTGGGAACTAGCTGCACCACAATAGGTGAAATGGTAGAACTATAGGCTAGTAAATGGGCAGTGCTTGCAGCTCAGCTGAACAGTCTGCAGCAGATGAGACCAGGCTGCCCACTGAGCCAAGGGGACACACTTGTAGCTAGGTCTGGGCCCACATGACTCGAAAGGGTGGAACCCAGGGGATATAAACTCAGTTTAGACCCCTACAGAAAGGAGGTCCTGGAGACTGAGCTGTTGGACATACACCCACAAACACACAAGGTACCCTAGAGCTAGAAGGAGACAGGTAAAGGGGAGCCTGGGAGCTGCTGTGGTATAGTGACCCAGAACAGGGTTTAGGTATTTTAGTGTCAAGCAGTTTGCTTGTGTTTCTGACTGGAGGTCTAAAAGTGGCCATAGGGACTGGTGGCTACAGGAGGTGCCTCGGAGGCACGCTGTGCTTTGAGTCCTGCAAGGGCCAGCGGTCCAGTGGGCTGAGTAACCTGACGTGGGGACAGGGCCAGAAGGTGCAGTGAACGGAGCCAGAGTAAGATGCATGAGGCATGGACATTTATACAGGGGAGACTGGAAGCCTAGGGCCATGATTAGTGCCCCTGAGACACTGGGTGATTTAACTAGAGGCTTGGGCCCAGGGCAAAGAGAGAGAAAACACTTGACAGAGGCCAATCAGAAGGGGAGCACCCCAAAGTTCACACTGAGTCTCTAAAGGCCAGTCTCTAAATATACATGCATCCAAAAAGTGGCAGGTGAGTACAAGGCAGTAGCCTTTGAAAGCTAGAGGAGGAGGGGCAGGATTAATACAGCTGCCCTTAGGGTTGTATTAAAAAAAAATCATGTAAATGAAAAATTCAGGATTACAGGATGTTTTTATATTATCCTGACCTCTTTGCAGCTGTTAAAATGGCTGAGCTAAAGGTCCAGATTTGACAGGGCAGAAAACAGTCCCAGTGATTTCTGTCAGGCTTCTCACAAGCTGAAAATTAAATACAAACTCAAGTGTTCTCCTGGATTGTACCCAAATACTTACAGCTTCTGAAAGCTGGTTCTGACTTGCCCGCTGCAGTTTCCAGCTCCCCAAATGTGCTCTTTGTAGCGTTGTACAGGATTTTTGAGGTGGGAGGGTTCAAACCAACTCCTTACTGCACTGGCCCCTGAAGGGTGATGGAAGGGGAGGGGAAAAGGCTCAACCAGTGGCAGTGGGCTCCAGGGCACAGTAGGGGCCAGAGCAGCAGCATGATGGGCCAAACCCTGTACAGGCTATTTGTGGGGTTCTTTTCTCGGCTCCAAATTAGGAGTGATATTCTCTGCCTCCTTTTCCAAATCTTTCTACACTTTACTCAGTGAAATGAGCAGCAAGATACACTCACAGAATTTCTTGAGCCACATATGGCCACTTTTATGTGTATTTCCAGGTGCAGGTATATTTTGGCCCACAGTTACTGAAGTCTCAGCAAGGCCTCTTTGTTACTGGATTTGCTGTGTTGGCACGACAGGAGACAGAATGCATAATAGGAAAATAGCTCAGACAGGAGTTTAATTCACTCGAGTTTATCACCATGACTCGGTTAAGTTTTTAGCTCATAGGCTAGGTGAAGAAGCTAGTTATGCCCTAACACCACTTTATGGAGCATTAGAACTTAACAAGCTTCATGCCTGCTGCAAAGAATCAAATACAGGAATTACAAAACAAGTCATGCAAATACCTTCTCAAATAGTAGGTCACTGAGTGACTGTGCAAACTCCCCATCTTCCATTAACAAAAAGTGTCTTAGTGCTTCAAAATGCTTCTCTACATTCAGTTCCACAAAGTAGTAATCAACTACTGCTTTGTTCACTAGGGAAACACTAAAAATAAAGAGAGAATAGGAATAGAAGAGAGTTCATACACTGCGTGTGCATGTGTGCACATGCACAACCCTACACAGGGTAGGGCCAGCTATACCTAAAAACAAACATAAACACAGATGTGGTTATCCCTGTTAGCTGGAATTCAGGCAAAAGGTAAGATAGGGGGCACCTTAGAAACTAATTGGCTCAGAGACACATGAGCTTTTGTAGGCAACAACCTACTTTGCAGACAATAATTTACAACTACATTTATAGCATCCGATGAAGCAGGTGGTTGCCTATAAAACAATTTGAAGTAGCCAGTTTCTTGTACATTCAATATATCACTGCAACATGGGTTGTTCCATTGTGTTGGCATACAGAGTTTCCCTTTGCTGTAGCAACAAGGTAAATAACTTCCATCTGGGTGAATCTACACATGCAATTAGTGGAGAGCAATAAACTCTGGTGCAGTTTGCACCAAAGTTTATATCCCCTGGGAACAGAGTTTATACATGCGTCTGAGACTACAAAACATTGAGCTGGGGAGGAGCAGCCCTGGGCTGGCCCTGTGCTCAAGGTGGCAGCATTGGGTGGCAGAGGGGCTGGTTGGGGCATGAGGATGCTATAGTGTGGGGCTAGCCGGCAGCCAGCCCCTACACTATAGCACCCTCATGCCTCAGCCAACCCTGGTCACCAGCTACACCTGAATTTTCATACACTTAATGACTCCACCATAGGATAGTACTTATCCTGGACAGTACTATCCTATGGCGGAGTTTAGTAATTTACTGTACCCTAATACAGGCGCATGTTTAGATGGTGATACTTTACTGCAGAGCTAATTAGTCAACTCTGCAATAAAGCGCCCATGTAGCTGCACCCCCTGCTGCAAAACAGCCTCTGACAGGCTAAAACAACAAACATGATAAATAATAGATTCCAGGAATGCTCAAGGGAAATCAAAATGCTGTTTATAGTATATTGGTCTGGAAAATCAGGAGGCCGAGAAATTCCTATTCCTTAACCCTTGAGACCTGATTCAGTTTCAGGCCAACACTAGTTGCAGACTGAAGACCCCTGAATTAGATGCACTTCTGGAAGAATGGAAAGATGTTCAGAAATATGTATGGAGCTCAGTTCTAATGGAAAATGACCACTAAAGAAAATTAAGCAAGTTTACAAAATGAGTTCTTACTATTACTAATACTTACTGAGATACTAAGGGAGCAGTAATAGAACGTTTCATCAGCACTGGCAGAGATAAGAGCTCACTTAGTTGTACAGCTGTTTCATCTGTTGCTGACTGCATCAGAGGATCCACTGGGAAAGTGTATGATCTTGGTATGACATGATGTAAGAGATGGGAAACTGGAAGCTCTGCTAAATTGAAAAAATATTAAATCATGGTAAACAATTAGACTTAAATATTTGATAAGATTTTTCAATTAAACATCTAAAATCATTCTGGGTTAGAAAATTATAACATCTAGATTTCAGATTGTTATACACAGAAATGGTTTTGCTGACTTAAAACAGGGTATTATTTCTATATTTTAAATACTTTGATTTCTCATTCACGTTCATGAATGTTTTCCATTCATGTACCATTTCATGAACTCTACTCACACATCAAATCATAGCTGTCTTGGTACTTTTCAAGACAGTATTGGTCTGATAAGGCTTTCAGATAAGCTTGTTCTTTCTTCCAGGTATCATCATCATCACCTCCTTTCTCTTTAGCCTCAGAAGCACTAGGCTCACAAAGTAAAGTTTCTTGAGATATAATATTCGGTACCGTTGACTTTTCAGGTTCTTCTGTCTAAAGGAAAAGACAACAACAAGAGGAACAAGAGACTTCAATCACCAAGTGTTGACTCCTTTGACACCGTAGAGATGGGAGATCCCTTCCACAGGTAACTTCTTACCTGTGAACGCTGGGGAGTCTCTCTAGGGAGATCCCTGATGACGTCATTTGCAATAACTGTAATGACAAAAAAAAAGGAAATAGTATAAAAAAAAATCAAGTTTGCAAATACATAAAATAGAGCTAACTACTTTATGTAGTTAATTAGCATCTGGATCATATTTAATATCTGTTTTTAAAGTACACAGTAGTTCCTGAAGTCCACAAAATCTATACTAAAATCACAATTCCAAAGTGGAAATTTTAATTTCACACTATATTATGCGATTGGCACTGCTATATTTAAAAGTGCCATGTTCCTTTGATTTCACAATGAAAATTATATATTCAAAAAACCATAGGTTTAAGTGGTCTACAAATGTTTAAGTCAGAAAAAGAATAGTGTACCCTTTTATATACGGAGAACTAGATCGGTCACAATTCTGGCCTCTAAATTCTAACACCTATTATAAACCATGCATTCCATTAAATCATAAAACACCCAGACAGAACATGCACACAGATATTTATTTTCACAGGAATCAACAAAACTGCTGACTGAATACACTTTGATTATTCTGATTATTATGTTCTAACCTTCTTGCTTTTCTTTCTCTCTTATGAGGTTTTCTTGCTTTCCATCATTTTCAGTATTAGAATCTGAAAGGACTGGACCCTTGTCACAGGACTGTAACTTTGGCAAATCTTCTCCCTTGCCACCTGATGTTTTATTATCTCTTGTACTTCCATCAACAGGAGAACCTGATCTGTTATACAGAAATGTCTGAACCATAGAGTCAGATGAGGGACCACAGATAGGTTTACGATGAGGCAATGGATCATTTTCGGTAGAAGGGGCCCACTCACCTATTTGAATGCTTGATTGAGATGCATGGCCAAAAGGGCTCCAACGAGGTTTTAAAGGCTCTGCATCAGAAACTAACTCTCCAATTTTTATGTGAGACTGGGAAGCATGTCCATGGATGTTCCACCTGGGCCTAGAGGGTACAATCTCAGATACATTTTGTCCAATCTTGATATTGGCATCAGATGCATGACCATGGATATTCCACCGAGGCCTTGCAGGCTCTACGTTTGATACATACTCACCAATCTTAATATTGGCTTCTGAGGCGTGCCCATGAATATTCCACCTGGGCCTTGAGGGTTGTACCTCTGAAGCATATTCCCCAACTTTAATATGGGCATCAGAAACATGCCCGTGGATATTCCACCGAAGCTGGCTAGGTTCAACTTCAGAAGCGTACCCCCCAATTTTTATGTGTGAATCTGAAGAATGACCATAAGACTTTAAGTGCAACTGGTAAGTCTCTGGCTGAGGTACATATTCCCCTATTTTAATGTTGGCATCAGATGCATGTCCATGAATATTCCACCGAGGCCTCCTATTTTCCACATCAAACACATTTTCTCCAACTCCGATATGTCCTTGTAAAACAGCAGATGGCCTGAGAACTGTATTAAAATCATATTCATTTTGCTTATGTAAATGTGTATCACTTTCTCCTTGTAATGCTTCTTTCAAAATAGCCTGATTTTCACCTACTTGAGAAAGATCTGAGTCAATATTTTGAAATGCTTCATCTAGCAAAGATCCTTGCATGCTAATGGGAACAGGTTGTTCATCCTGTGGTTTTGGTAAGAAATCTTCAATATTCACATGGGATTCAGGCAGGGAGTTAGCACTATGTGATGGACTCCATGTTTGCTCTGTACTTTGTTCTGCTGCTGACTCAGAATGCTGACTAATAGGATTATTTACTGACTGTAGTAAAGCCAATGGCTTATGGGAAGAAGTAACATTTTCCATTCCAGATTCAGAATCATCTTTGCCAACTTTCTCAACCAAATGTACAGGTTCCAGAGAAGACACCTGAAATACAAAAAATTATTATATCCTGTGGCTAGTTTCACATAATAAAATTTCTCTTATAACGAACATTTTATTTTCAATGTCTTCTTTCTATGGGTAGATAGTAAAAACCATTCATAGTGCTATCATAGTGAATCTTCTGCTTTTTAAACAGATTTACCAAGTTTACTTTAGTGAACCTTGAACCTGCCATGAATAATTACGCAGGAAAATAAACCAACCTGAGAACTTGGATCTCCAACAGCGTTTGTAACTGGAAGTGTCTGGTGCTGTTCATAAGGAATAACATCTAATTTCTTCCTAAATTTCCCATCTGGAAGTTTTTCAAGCATCTCCTAAGATCAAAACAGCCAAATCACAAAGATTAATTGTACCAAATATTGAAATATTATTTGAAGTATTTTAAATAATATTTCTTTGAAGATGTAAAGATACCTCAATGTGTTTTTGATCTTCTAACAGGAACTTGAGACGGGCTGTTTCCAGTTTGTACCGCTGGATTTTCCACAAAGCCCTCTGCTCCCTACGAGCTGCATCATCAGAAAGTTTACTATAATGGTCAATTAATTCTTGCCTGAAGTAGAGAGACAACTATATTAGAGACACTTGACTCTTCAAGTTTTAAAAGCCAGAAGCTCCATCCACAGAGCAGAAACCAGCTGAGAGAACGTGATAAAAAATTATGGCAATTTTGACAACAGAAGTATTTTAATAGGACACTTATTTAAGTGCATTTAATCTGTCAATTAATAAAAATAAATTATAATAAGGTCCATAAATACGAACGATGTCAAACTAGACTTTAAAAACTTCCATGGAGATTTGCTTACATATTAAATTAACAAAGTTACAAGAATAAATTGTTCTCAGTAAAAGCAATGTTGACTCTTGAATAAGGGGTATCCTTGAACTTAATTAGATTTTGAAGGTCTGTGGTGATGCCTCCATTCCTCTTAATTGTATAACAGCCAAAGAACACCTAGCTTGGAAGAGAGGTTGCTAATATGTCACATTAAAGAGTTGACCAAGACAGGACATTCGACACATCACACAACCAGTGAGGCATTTTAATGTCTTGGAACATACGAGCCAATCTCTGGTATCCACTCAGAAAATAATCCAGATAAAACTGGTTTATGGGATTTACCATTACATACTACTCTGTGCCAAAAGATCCACTTGCATGGACCTTTGACCCCATAGATAGCCTAACTGAAATCAATACAACACCTGCAAAGATTTAACTGCAGGATTAAGTGCATGTAGACTCAGAAGAAAGAATGGTAACCCACATTTAATTACTAGAATTAATAGTCAAAAAAGGCTATGAAGCTTCCACTTCCCAATTTGAGCCTCCTTTGATATACCACCTTTTTTTTATTATGACAAAAACCATGATACCTGTGCCTATTATGATGCCAAGAGAAAAGATCAGTATTTTTTAAGATGTATGGTAAAATTTAATATACAACCTTTGGAAGACTAGCAAACACATTACCTTGCCTTTTTTTCCAATTCTTCTTCTAAAGCTTTTAGTCTTCTTTCTCTCTCTCTCAGCTCCCGTGCATAACTGAAATCATCATCAATCTCCTCCTGCTTCAATGCAAGGCGGCGCTGCAAAAACATTTAAAACAAAAACCACTTGGTGCTAAGTCTGGGAAATGTGTACATATGTTTCCAATTTCTTGCTGAAGAAATACACTCATTACAATTCAACCAAAGAAATACCTCTTGTTCCTTTGCAAACTGCTCTTTCAATTTCTGAAACCGTTCACGTTTCTTTGCATCCAAAGTCATTTTTTCTGCCATCTGTCGATCTGTTATAAATTAAAATGACTGTTATTTACATGAGCATATATATACAAAAAAGAAAGAATAATTAATACTATTAAATTAATACTACTATAACTTACCATTAATGGCTTTTAATGCTTTATTAGCTGTTTCTCGAGCATGAACAATTAACTCTTGCTTTGCAATTTCAATACGCAAATCCTAAAGAATAAACATGTACCATTTTATTATGCTATTCAGATATGAAGTTATGCTCTTGAAATTACAGGTATGCACTTTCTTTTCATGTACAGAAAACACAACTATCTAATGTAGTTAGCTTTCAAGATTTATACCCACAGTATTATGGGACACATTAGTCTAGTAACTAACTGTATTAAATTTTAGCATGGCCTAATACAGGAACACAATGGTCTGCTTATATTAATGAAGCCATAATAAAACAATTAGCCATGCTAATTATAACAGGATGTTGACAAATTGAACATATTAATTAACAGTCAAGTTCTAATATCTTGAATATTTAGTATCTTGAATATTTTTTACTATAGATTAAAGATGAAGTCACAAAGAAATAAAGAAGAAATTATCTAAAACCATTTTTAAAAACATAAAAAACCTGTTAAAATTAGAATGTAGTACCAATGACTACTTGCTGAGATAGTAGTAGAAAGAGTAAGCAGACAAAAGTTTGCAAGACTTTAATGAGAAATGTTGGTTCTTTTAAACAGACAATAAACACAAGGAATCAGAATCCACTTGTAAAGAAAACACCTTAATAACACAAAGATCATTATTCTTTAATATTCATTTACCTTTTCTTCCTTGCTTATAGAACTATAACGGGCAATTCTTTCCATTCGACCCACATATATTGCACAATCTCTCTCAATCTCTTTCAGCTCCTCTAGAGAAAATATGACAGAAATCCGAGGAACAGGGATATCTGACCAGCATATGTAATGCTGCAAAGAAGAAATATTTTCCCATTTAAATATTGAGAATTCTGTAAAGTTTAAGCAAGCAATTAGGCTGATGGTTGTTTATGCACAAAGCAAGCTTTTGCTGCAAAGAAACTTGATCTGATAAAGGTGCTTAATCATATTATGCTCTTGAACTGTTCATGGCTTTAAGAACCAAGTCCACCAAGAATTTCAGTGCCTAACTAGAAGTAGATGTAACTTAGAAGACTAGGTTCAACAGTGTGCTGTTCAAAACTCCCATCTAACTGCAGAGGCACCTAAAGTATGTAGATGCCTATGTTTCCACTAGTTAGATTCCCTTGATGTGTAGAGCGTTGTTCCTATGCAGGCCCAGACCTACTCTCATCACCCAATTTACTGCAGCTACACATAATCACAGTTTTTTCAGGATCATACCAACCTCTGTTTTGTTGGCATTGTGAAGTTATAAATACTTGACCAAACAGCCAAAAGCATTCATCAGCATTTCTCCTAGGGACAGAAGTTACATATAAACTGGTTTAAGTTATCAGAAACTGGTTTAAACCTGTAACAGAACAGAAGCTCAGGGCATTTAAACCAGTTTCAAAATGGCTGAAATTGGCTTAAGATAAACCTGGATGAATGCAGTATCTGACTTAACTGATTTGGGTCAAACCATTTATGAAACTGCTGTCCCAAACTTCTGGTTAAGATAAATCACAGTCCCCCGGTATCCCAGCACATTTTGGAGCCCTGGGCTGGGCTGTGCTGTCTGCTCCAGAGAGCAGGCCTGGTCCGGCCCCTCTGCTCCCTAGCTGGAGCAGTGAAGTCTGGCTGACAATGGGGGCGGGGAGGGGGGGCAAGCCCAGCTGGGGATGCAGCCCAGTCAGCGGGGGCGGGGGGGGACGACGATGACACTGCCCCACCCAGGCAAACCCTGGCTGGGGTCTGCAGCCAGGGAGGGGATGCTAAACAGTTAAACACCCCTTCCCCCGCTCAAATCTACTGCTAGCTGCAACTGTGGACTAAAATCCCAGAGGCACATGGAAGCAGGATGAAGAAGTGATGGAAAACGCTGCAGAGTCCTGCTACTGTGATTTTGAACTGCAAATCCCAGAGGCCTCAGGGGCAGCAGGAAGAGGAAGCAGACACACAGCCTGTGCTGGATACATGCCAGAGAGCCGTGCTCTAGAGCCCTCTAGGTTCTGGCCTGAGCCACTGCAAGCATGTGGCTGCATTTCCTGAATCCAAGGTAAATGTCTGTTCATGTCTGTTTCAGTTTAATCTCTGCATTTTAGAGTAACCTGCAAAGACTGAATCGCTTCACCCTTGGGCTTTCTGACCATTTGTGCTTAGCCCTAGATGGCACCACTTATTATTAAAGAAGAAAGTTTCCAAAAGAACTAGTACACCTGCTTTAAGAATTTATTATTTTATAAGTATAAGATGAAAGAATGAAGCAGGTACTTGCCCTAGGACAACACAGTTTCAGTAAGTTTATGGTTTTCCCACAAATGTATACATCATTGGCAATATGCTTCAAAAAAATAGGGACACAATCTTCTACTTCTTTGGAAATCAAAACATATCCATGGGTCCAATAATGTTTATCTATAAACAAGACAAAAACAAGGAATATCAAACCACATTTGATAGTCAAACTAAATGCAAAAAAACAAAGTAAGCAAAGTCGGAAGTACTGTGCGTATATACTGTACCTCTGAAACCGAGATAATCCTCATTTACTTGGATCATGAACTCTCCATAAACGTCCCTGAATACACCACTATACACCCAATCATAGATAAATCTAAAAAGAAAAACAACATGATGACACAAAGAATTAAAACTTCTTTTTCATATATTTATTTTATTTTAAGCAATATGCATGTGAGTATTTTTTTTTACATTCTCTCTCTCTCTCACCCAGGATATCTGACAAAGTCTTGCCAAAAATTCAAGTCTAAATCATACTGGAGATAAAAATTAAAAGTCACATTTAGAATTTCACACTGATATTAACAAAATTTAACAATATTTGGTTAATTTTTGGCATAACAAATATCCTCTTTATGGTAGATGTTAACTAAAAAAATTATTCTACTCTAAGTAAGTACCTTAAGTACTTCTATCTTTTAATTTTTACACACACTGGGACATATATGTACCCTTTGTACTGTCATAAGGGTGGGGCAGGAAGGAATCAAGTGCAACAACTCATCTTTAAACTTAAGAAACTTCAGAGGAACATGTGTTAAATATATGAAAACTAGTATTATAACTGCAACAACAACAGCAGCAGATGTAACCACAGCTTTAAATTTGTAATTGAAAACTATGTCTTCGTGTGTTAACATTCTTATATTTTTATGAGTTACAGGAGCAATACCAACCTTGGGGTTATATATTTCCTGAAGAGATACTGAAAGTATGATTGGATTAAGATTCTCCAGACATCCACTATCTGGCAGGAAATTACTTCTATGGCACTTATCAGAATGTCAATTAAGCAATAACAAATTTCTGAAAACACTTGTGCACATTCATATAAATTTAAGGCTTTAGTTTTACAATATACACCATAGTGGGGGAAACAGAAGTGTGGCTGTAAACAAAAACTGTAGGATTGGACCCATAATTAGGTATTTTAATTTAATGGAGACTTTATTAAAGATCACTCTTACTTAACAGTTATCCTAGTTTGGATTTAGTCGTGACTACCTATGCTAGTGACAAAAAAGGGTTTTTACTAATTTCTATTAGTACTAAAAGCTGTGACAGTGAAGCAGAATTTTTCCTGGTTTGAACACTAGCAACAGAACTGGTAAATAAGCATTAGTTGGTATTGTTGGCAAAGAAGCAAAAGAAGAAGATATGCCAAATACTGTTGTAGTCTCAGAGCCATGGCTGAATTTGATGGGCTGGCAAAAACAAGGATTTTGTTTATGAAATGAATTGCTAAGAATCTGGTTAACTTGTCATTTTAAGGCAGATTAAAATAATCAAAGATTTTTGCTTGACAGTCTTACCAGCACACACCATCAACCAAGTATAACAGTCGACTGTCTATGTCTACTTGAGCCAAGTAAAGCTTAAGAATATCCAATGCCTTATATCAGTTAGGCAGGTGCTAGAAATGGCACAGATGAGTACCTTGTGTGCCAATTAATTATCAGAAGCAAACACTACAGTGATTTAGCGTGCATGTATACTTGGAAATTGCTAATTGTACTTTTACAGATAAATGTTTTGAATATTATGGCAGGGATTCAGTGTACCAACTAAAAATACAAGAGTACAAATTATCCTAGTAACCACTTAACCAGAATTCATTGTACTTTAATACCCGAGTACCAATGGCAAATATGGAACCACACAGTGCCATTTTTTTTAGTCATTCTTTAAGAAACACATTACAGGTGATTAAAAACTATCCATATTTCCTATTGTCTGCTATGTACAAAATAAATCCTAGTTATCCATTTCTTTGAAGTGAGTATAACAGTAAAAATGTCAGATGAAAAAAATAAATCAAGTTTTATAACATTACTCATTACTTTGAATCATAATTGAAAAAGCTAATAGTATGAAACCTACCTTGTATATGGTTCACAGCTGGTTTTTAACAAAGACAGAAGAACTGGGTAATGTTCATTACTGCAGTTATCAAGAGCCTCTTTGTACAAGTATGACAGCAATTTCACTCCCTGAAAGAAACAAACACACCTTAATTTTTGGATAGGAAAATGCAATTTATTCTTGATAATAACAGATTCACAAAATACACATTGTACGTCCATTTTAACTAAATATAGATGGTTTGGTCACAGTCCAATTTGGGTAGGTGAAAAACACCTGAAGAAATAGTGCAGGTAGGTGACATCCCTTCAACTGACAAAGTTTTTTGGAAACTTCAGTATTCTTACCAGATCCTGGGGTGCTTTAACAGCCCCAGATGGCAGCTTCCCTATTGCATGTCAACTTCACCTCCATTATCCTTGTATTTATCATTTCAATATACTGGACTACTGTAATGCAGCCTACCTAGGACTGCACTTCTGTCACAGAAACTTAAGGTAATACAAAGTGCAACAGCCTGTTCAAATTACTTCAAACAAAAGGTATATTATACCAGTGATCATTGTAAGGATCTTACTTTCAATCAACTTCTAAGCATATTTTGAGAAATTGGTTTTGAACTGTAAATCCTTTTCTTAACTTGCTCCTGGATAGCAGGCACCCTTTTGCTTTACTAGTTGAGCTTACTAGAATAAAAATTCCAAAACTTAAAATAGTTGTGAACTAAGAGCAGGGGAGGCTCATTGGAGAGAGACAGAACAGGAAGTGTACAAACCATACTCTAATGGAAAGGCATGCATGTATTCACCTCAAACCCTTTTCTATTCAGAGGGGGTTTATAGCAGGGATTTTTTTTACGGTTTTGTTGCTGGAGCCAGATGCTCCATTTGGCTTGGTAGATGGTTTTAGTAGGGTTGGAGAGCTGTTGTAGCCATGGTCATCCAAACATTGTGGAAAGGCAAGACTCTTTTGTTATATCTTTTACTGGACCATGGCACCCTACAAACCCCTGTATACATGAAACCGATGGAGTACCATACATATCATTCACAAAGACAGCAACCACGCCAGTTGTACTAAGAAATCTACAGTCAAGCTAATCTACAGTCAAGCTCTCAGATCTCCTCAGAGTACATGTGGTGGTAACACTCACAACACCCATCTCACCAGCCTGAAAAATACTTTATCTGGCAAGGATGCTCCAGAAAAGAAACAGATTGCATATATAAATGAGCTACACAATTACCCCATAATAACCTACTACAATACAGAAAGAAAACTCCCACTGATCACACTTCCCTGGTTGTTACACACCATCCCACACTGGAATCTATAAGAAGGATCATCAAACAATTACAGCCTATAACAGAAAAAAGATGCTTGAGGAAGCATTCCCAGCTCCCGACTCTTGGCCTTCAAGCAACCCTCAAACCTGGCCCAACTCATCATCACAAGCAAACTCCCCTCCAATCAACAGATTTCTTATGGGACACAACCCTGCCTCAATAATAAATGAAGAACCTGTCAACATCTCCTGCATCACAACAGTGAACGCCCCTCACAATAAAACCAACTAATGCACATCAGGGAACATGGCATATCCCATTCAGTGTACTAGATGCCCCCATGGAAACTTTGGGTGAAACTAGACAGGAACTGTGCACCAGAATGAACTCTCACAGAAGAAGTGTTAAGGGCAGACACACATGAACACCAGTTGGAATACATTTGTCACAGAACAACCACACCTTCTCTGACCCCACAACTTTCGTGTTCAAAAGGAATTTACAAATAATGTAACTCAAATGTAACAAGAAGAGTAAAATCAATAATCACCATAGGAAATGAAGCACTGGCCCCTCCACTGATCCCCAGAGCAGCATTTCCTATGCCACAAAGTTCAGCTAAATACCTAAATGGAAGGATAAAATAAAATGCATAAGACACTTGTGGTCTCAGGAAGTGTTCATACCTCTTAATGAAATGAGACACACATGGATGGCACGCAGCAACCCTTCTGCATTATCAAAGTTATAACAGGTGTAGCAGGGGAAACATTGAAAAACAATACTCCAAATTAAACCATAGAAGGAATTTTGATAAATGGGTTACGACAAAGAAAATGTTATTGGGTTGGTAGGTCAAATGATCTAACTTCAATATAGATAACTGAGCCTTTCTTTACACATCTTCCTTAATTACTTCTAGAATTTAAACAACTTGTAAAAAAAATAAGAAACTGAACACTAAAATACTGTATAGGAAGGAATGTCCAATAATGTCTCTTGATAAAGATGAAACTAGATTGGATTTTTTTATTCCTACAAAGGTTTATTATTACTTTACCTTAACTGACGCCCTAATTTTCTGAAGAGAAAGCTAATTGTTAGAAGGCTTAAAGTAGAAGGTGTTGACAACACACATGCTCTGTAATACTGGAGGTACTTTCTCAGTCCACTTGTGAACGCCTAGTAGAAGAAAACACAATGACAACACTCTATTAAAATTATCAGTGCTCTGTTTAGGTTCAAAGATATATTGCACGTATACAAAGATAAATTTATTGCATTATCACATCCACATTATCATAGGAAAGTGCGTCCAATTTCAATGACTACTTAAGGAAAAGGATAGTGAGATATTCTTCTTCCTGTTATTATTTTTGATCCATATGGAAAACTTCTGTTAATGGGAGTTGAGTATTCAGGAAGGAATGTATCAATCGAATTATTTATATTTTCATAGTTATACAAGAGGTAGTACTAACAAAAAAATTGCTTTCAAAAAAGTTAACTAACATTGCCCCTGACCACACACAGATAAATCTGAACACTGCTAGATCTAATTAATGTTTGGAGAACCAACAGACAGCAAGCAATTCCAAAATATATCAAATAAAGACTATTAAAAGGGATTATTTCATTTGTTTTATTTCTTTTTTGGTTGGTATAAAAGTACTTTGTTGTGTTAAAAAGCTAATGTCATGCTTAATATATAAACTTTAAACTATTTAGAAATAGTCCTCAATTTAAGAAACAGCTGTCTCTTTATTTTCCAATAAAACAGTATATCAAGGTTATTTCTTCACTACTAAGGTGACTTGAATCCCAGCTCTTTGAAAAGCCCTATTTCTTTCAACAATGCTCTACACTGGCAAAGCTCACTGCACAATCAAGGTCTATGCCAGCCATTCTCAACTAGGGTACCATGGCACCTTAGGTTACCACAAGACCCTTTTAAGGGTGTGCTGTTGTGCCACTTAATATTAGCACTGTTATGTGTGCAAACACTTATACATAGTTCACAAAATAAACCTGGAAATTTCAAATGGAAATCCAGAGTTTAAAAAACATTCTGACCTGTCATGGCCTTTGCACCAAAAGAATTGCTCTATTATTTTTCATAATCAAAAAAATGAGTGAAAGCTAAGAGCTGGCACTTTCAGAGGGGTGTGTCTCGAGTCCAAAAAGGTGGAGAAATACTGGTCTATGCCAACAGTAGCCAGTAATATCCAATCTAAATGTTCACGTCCAACATGCATCAGACTTCAGCAGAACACAGCAAAGTAAGTGTCAAAAACAGAACACAGCAACTCCAGCTTTATGTCAAATGAAGACCATAATTTTCTTTATCTAAAATAACTAACCTATTAAGCTAAGATTATTTTACCAACAAGTCTATGGGTATAGTACCTGGAATACCAGTCCTCTCTTGTATGAAGAGTCTAAGATTGGCTGAAGAGAGAAACGACTCAGTCGCGTGTAATAGGTTCCATATTCAGCAACTTCTGATAGGAGATTGTTCATGCTCTCAGGTGATGTTCCAGATACATATACCCCCTCCTTTATCACAAATATCTGAGCAACCTAAAGTGGAGCAAAAAGGGAGACAAGTATTTTCACAACTGCACGTTTCTTTTAAAGTAAATACCCAACTCAGCTCACATATGTGGAAAAAGCTCTATACAACAATGCAGATTTACAATTCAGATATTACAGTAACTGGAACCAACACCTAGGATGGCAAGGCAAATAGATTTAATTTAGTACAATCTCCGGAGGAAAACTAAAGCATTAATGTTTTGAAATGCATAGAAGAAACTTGTTACCTAATTTTCTGATCATAAACAGCTTTGCAGATATTATTCTAGTAACTTATTCTTATTTCCAAAATCTGTTAATTTAATTCCTAAAAAACCTATTTTTTGTTACTTTAGTTTACTGGTAAACAGTCTCTTTTGTAAAGTGTAAAAGAACACTGGAATTATTTATAAACAATACCAGTAAAAATGACATTTTGAATGAAGTGTATTTATTTTTCTTGCAGCAGTCTCTACCACAAAATCATGAGATCTGATGCGACTAAGTACTATGATTCTTACCTGGTTAAGTGAAAATGTAGCAGACACCACACCAATAAGAACATTCAAGACATCCTTAACTAGTTCGGATTCTTTCATTAACACTAGCTGAGGAAGCTGGAGGATGGTATTACTAAATAGCTGTAATTCCCCTTCTCGAAGTCTGTAAAATTTATCGAAAGCTTCTCTCCCAGCTTCTGTAAGGTATGGCTCCTCTTTCTTACCAGGTGGGCTGTGTCAAAATAAACACAAAACATTAAAAAGATATTATCATAAAAAGAAGTCAACTTTCTCTTCACTATCAACATGAATCCATTCTTAATGGTCATATTTTTCAGAATACAGAAATATTCTAGAGAATTTATGAAACAACCACATGCTTTCTAGCAATCCCCTAACTATAAACACCTGGTAAATGACATTAAGCCAGGAACAAGGGTGTAGGTTGTACCCGTGTTGGTCTAAGGATATAGGCAGACAAGGTTCTTTAGGTGAATCTGATATCTTTTATTAGACCAACTAAATAGTTGGAGAACAATTTTTAAGCAAGCTTTCGGGTTCAAAAACCCTTTGTCAGGCTAAGGAAGTTTCAGCAGTTGATGTGTGCTCTTCCTGGATGGAATGAAAAGTAAAAAAGCCAGAAGCCGTACTGGTATGCGTACAAGACAGCTTCCTGGATGGAATGAAAAGTAAAAAAGCCAGAAGCCGTACTGGTATGCATACAAGACAGGCAGTCAGTGAAAATGCAGACTGAGGAGTCAATGGGTGAGAGACAGGCTGGGGGGGGGGGAAAGAAGGGGGATGAATAGTGGAGAAGTACCTGGTAAGTCAGCTGTCAGGCAAGTTATTATAACCTATTTAGTTGGTCTAATAAAAGATATCAGATTCACCCAAAGAATCTTGTCATTATAACTGAAAAAGGAGTTTGCACCATTTGATCCTGTCATCCCTTGGGGCACTCTGGTGAACAGACATTCCCCCAGATCCTGGTGAGCACCCCTGATAAACTTATAGGTGGCCATCAGATCACCCCTGAGCCTGCGCTTTTCCAGGCTGAAGAGCCCCATGGCTCTCAGCCTCTCATCATAAGGTCTGTTTCCCTGACCTCTGATCATGCACGTGGCTCTCCTCTGCACTCTCTCAAGCTTCTCCACATCCTTTATGAATTGTGGAGCCCAAAACTGGACGCAGTACTTCAGCTGCGGCCTCACCAAGGCTGAATACAATGGGAGAATGACGTCCTGGGATTTGCTTGAGAAGCATCTATGGATGCAAGCCAGAGTTTTGCTTGCTTTACTAGCCGCAGCATCACATTGAAGGCTCATGTTCATCTTGTGGCCAATCATGACCCTCAAGTCCCTTTCATCTGTAGTGCTAACCAGCGTAGCACTGCCGAGCCTGTAAGTACGGTGCAGGTTTTTCCTCCCAAGGTGGAGAACCTTGCATTTTTCGGTGTTAAACACCATCAGGTTCTTGTCCACTCATTTCATGAGCCTGTCCAGATCTGCCTGGATCACCCTCCTGTCCTCAGGTGTGGATGCTTTACCCCAGAGTTTGGTGTCGTCGGCGAACTTGGCCAGTCCGCTTCTGACACCAATGTCTACATCATTGATGAAGATGTTAAAAAAGTATAGGCCCTAGGACAGAGCCTTGAGGGACCCCACAGGTCACAGCGCACCATGACGACTGACTTCCATCATCCACCACCCTCTGGGTCCTACCACAGAGCCAATTCCCCCGCCAGAGGATTGAGGTCAAGGCCGCAGTTAGCCAGTTTTGCCAAGAGGTGATCATGGGATACTAGATCGAAGGCTTTTTTAAAGTCGAGATATATGACATCAATCTCTTTCCCCTTGTCCAGGTGATAGGTCACCTGGTCATAAAAGGAAATGAGATTGGTCAAGCAAGACCTACCCGCAACAAACCCATGCTGGGTATCCCTCAGAATATTGCTGTCAGCTGGTCTGTTAAGGATGGCCTCTTTGATAATCTTTCCCAAGACCTTCCCCAGGATAGAGGTCAGGCCGATGGGCCTGTAGTTTGCCAGATCTACTTTCCTCCCTTTCTTGTAGATAGGCACAACATTGACTTTCTCCAATCTTCGGGCACTTCACCAGAGCACCAGTTCTTGAAGATCCATGCCAGGGGCTGAGCTATGATGCATGCCAGCTCCTTGAGTACCCTTGGGTGTAAATCATCAGGGCTGGCTTACTTGAAGGTATCCAGCCTGTCAAGGTGTTCCTTCACAAGGTCAGCTTTGATGGAGGGTAAGGAATCTCCCTCACCCGGGTCTCCCTGTCCCGCAGTGGGCAGGGACATCCCATGGGACTGGTGAAAAAATTATGCAAAGTACTCATTTAGCAAGTTTGCTTTTTCCTGAATCAGTTGTCAGTTGTCCCATCTGATTTAGCAGGGGTCCAATGTTGCCCTTGCTTTCCCTCCGACTCCCCACATATCTAAAAAAGGACTTTTTATTGTCCTTGATATTTGTAGCTAGCTGGAGTTCTGTCGCAGCCTTGGCTTTCCTGATTTAGATAGGAGTGATGCAGCCATGAGCAGAGGGTTGGACTACATGACTTCCTAACATGCTTTCCAGCCCTATTTTCCTATCATTCTCTGACTTTAACTTTTTCAGTTAGAAGCAAACAATGATTATTTTAGACATAAACCATAGACATCTCCTTTTCAGGACTTCTGACAAAAATTAATTTCCCCTGTTTTGCTACTCTCATTACAAAAAGTTTAGCTGCCATCTTTGAAAGGCAGTTAATTGAAACTGTAGGACTCGTCCTGTCACATTTGTTATGCAGCATATTGAAATCTGTGTTCCTAAACAGATGACATATTTCTTACTTATGTTAAGTAAAATAACTCCCAACTAAAACACATACACAAGTAAGTTGCGTGATAACTGCATGCATAATATCAGATACTTACTATCCAATTCTTTCCCAGCACCTTCGTTTGCTGGGTCCATATGTAAGCACTGCATCCCAAAGGTCTATGTCTGGAGTCATGCTTGGTTCTGACTGAGAATCAGGAGTCAAATTGGATGCTGACTGGAACCCCTCATCTTCAGACTGGTCTATGCTTTGTGGAACCTGCAAACAATCATGATAATTTGACTACTGCAAACATGTATGCTGCATTAACTGAGTAACATATGTTAATACAAAGGAAGTCTACTCCCATTTGCAATAAAATGGTTTGATACCATCAACTGTTTTTTCCTCTTGTGATTCTATTAATGACTAATGGAAATCCCCTAAAAGTGAGTAGTTTGAGATTCAGTTACAGAAAATGAAACTGATATCTGCAACATAAATAACAAAATCCACATCAATTCATGATAATATATCTGTGCCTACAAAAGTTAAGAGTATAACTGTTAAACCAAAATACCAATACAACTAAATGAGAATTATTTCACTCCGCCTAGGAACATATTCTCAGTTCAGACATTGTAAATGGCCAATAATCTGTAATGTTCCAGAACATGCAAGTTGTGAGGGGTTAATGCAGTCCCCAGGCTCCCACCTGGCTGTGGCTCCTCCCATCACTATAGTTGCAAGAGCAGCTGGAGTCTCCAGGCTTCAGCCTCCCACCTCCAGCTGTCACTTCCAGCCTTTGCCCCAGGACACAGGGACAGTGTAGGGAGCTGCAAGTGAGCCCATGACCACGCCATGGCCCCCCCCACCCCGTGGGGAGGGGTGGAAGGGAGCACAGCGATAGCCAACCAAAAAAATGAAATATTTTGCACAGAGAAAGATGTAAGCAGATGCTTTAAATATACATCTCTGTAACATTTGTACTGCTACAAGAAAAGCTTATATTTATTAAAGATTGTTTTGAGAAGGTATATTGGAACCGCTCATACACGCTGAACTAATGTACGTTCATGTGAAAAGAAATGCTTTAGCTGCGTACTTTAATTGCAAGACCAGACAAATCTGCATTGTCAGGTACCGGCGGCAAATCCAGCTTGATGTCCATATCATATGTACGGCTATGGACGAGAGCACCAAAGAGCGAGACGCGCGTTTCCTTTTCAAACTTGTCACCGGCAGGGTAGCTCTGCGAAAACAACCCGATGGCAGGAAGCCCTGTGCCAGGCGCCGCCTCCATTATCTGAAGAGTCTTTTGAATGGTGTCATGGAACTGACACTCTTCGCTGGCAATGAGTGACTGAATGTCGGCTTCGAACACGCTGACATCGTAGTAGTCGTAACCCTGGTACTTGACGTTTCTCCCAACGTACTTGTTGTTGAGGAAATAGTCCTTCTTGGGGGGGAGCAGCTGGGGAGGGCCCGTCCCCGCGAGCTGCACGAGGAGGTCCAGGACGGAGTTCACCTCGGCGAAGGGCAAGGTGCCCGCTGTTTCCAGCCCCTCCACGAGCGCCTCCA